GTGTCGTACGTGGACGCATAATTTCTAAATTATGAATTTTTAAGTTTAATTAGTAAAGACTGCTGATTATGAAGAATAGTACAATTAGTATTTATTAAATAAGGAATACATATTCTTTCAAATACTTGATCACGCCCAACTATGCCTTATAAAAAGGACAATGCGGTCGTTGCAAATATAATCCGGTTTACAAGTCCGGAGTCGAATCCCACAGAGAACTAAGGTTTAGCTACAGCTGTTCACTATCACCAAGAAGACAAGCTTGAACAATTCCTAACATATAGATATTAAGATTCTTTTATTTAACTAATTAACTAACAAATTAAAATAGTAAATTAACAACTAACGATACTGAGGGTTAGAGAAAAGATTAAGGAGGTCTAGAGTTATGATTTCCCCTATTGTCGGAATCCTTTCCGCTATGTCTTCTATAATTTCGCCTAAGTATTCTCTACCGATCATGAGCACTCTTATTACCGTAAATCTCTCCCGAGTAATTACCACAATTTACTAGACGCACTCTCCCGAGCTACGCTAGCTGGCTTTTAATACAGCTCACTTCAGATCGCACCCAAGGCTTCGTTATCCCTAATCCCGCCTTTAAACCCTCGGTTATTGATCCCTCATATACTCTGGGAGTGGTGTTGTTCAACAATTACCTAAATATGCACTCTCTCCCGAGTTATGCATACTAAATAGGCACAGCTAATTGAGAGCTCTTCAATCAACCAGAATATAAACGTAGTTGAACAAATAGAGAAAAGCTATGGCTCAATTATATAAAAACATAACAAGAATTTATCCTACAAAAGGTTCTATCAAAACTCTAGATAACAAATTAGCTATTCATAATAGTATGTAAAACTACAATACTAAAAGTCATAACCAACAATGAAAAATAGGAAGAGGAAGGAAAAACTCGTAGAAGAATTCTCCGCCTTGCTCCCAATGTGTTCTTGCCTCCAAGGGTGTTGTCTAACCCTAAAGTAGTGTCTCCTGCCTCCTTAGGTCTAATTTGTGTCCAAAATATGTCCCCCTCTTGTTCTTGGCCGGCCTCCTTTGTTTAATATAGGGTTTAGGACTTAAAATCCCATGTTTTGCACTTTAGTCCCTGAAATTTTCGCTTCCTGCGCGGTTTTGCCGCGGTCGCGGTGGAACCGCGGCCAAACATGCCCTCTGATTCTTCAGTTGTCCGCGACCATCTTCTGCCGCGGTTCTGCCGCGGTCGCGGCAAAACCGCGGTTTTTCACCCTGTTCCATTTGGAATTGGGAAAAACGTAAAACATGAAAGTTGTAGCCCTTTGAGTTAGCTTTCCAACCATATATTGTGGAGCCTAAATGGAGTTTTGAGCAAAAAGTTATGTCTATTTTACTAGACAGTACGCAATATGCCTCCTCAAGTCTTCGTTCGTACTTAATTATCAAATTTGACCCCCGAACACGATCCCGGCTTACTTCCTTGATCTTTTACTCAGACTTCAAAGCTTCAAATCACTTAAATTCATTCCATAACATCTATATAGCTCGGAATCACACCTACAAGGCATAAAACACACAATTAGTGCAAAACACTAGCGATTAAAGCGCAAACTCAATTAAAGTGCAGTAAATTAGAGTGTAATAAGCGACTAAAATATGCAATTATAGCCTATCATCAATACTCAAATTGGTTACCACTTGTCCAGATTATATTATAAAGTAGGTTTAGAATATTTATTTTAAGGGACGATTACATCTAATTAAGTCTTACTTGCTACCTAAGAAAAGACAGGCTCAATGTGGGGTTTAAATTATTATTTACGACTTGTCCTGCAAATTGGAACAGAATTAACCTCCAGCAATTTCAACAAGTCAAGAAATATTCTCAAGAGATCAGGATCTTGAAAGAAGATTAATTATAAATATGTTGAAATCGAAATACCAAAATGGAACTACTTGTCAGAATTTAGAGTAGGTAATTTGGTGGTTAATTTAACTAATTCTTACATACAAATACTCGAATAAGTTACTACATGTCCAAACCTTAGTGTTTGCTTGTTCATTATTGCCAAAAATATATATGTTGTTTACGTTCTAAATTAATATTGACCAGCAAACGTATGCAATTAGGTGGATTCTATCAACAAATAGAAATGTGTTGTTTTTTCCTGTTGCGAGCTGTTCAATTTCTCCAACAAACCCTTCAATAACTAATCCTGAATCTTCTGTTCTTCTTCTTCTTCTTCTTCATTATGAAATTTGATCATTATTTTAAAATTGGGATAGGCTTTGTTAGCTAGCAATTTCTGGATACGAGACCAAAAGCGCTTGTGGATAGCACTTTTTTGTTACTATTTTAAGAAGTCTCAGCTTATTATATTTTAAGTATTATATGTGAATGGTGTACCAAGAGAGTGACAGTATCAGCCATGCACATAATATTTTACTCAATAACCATGCAATATACGTAGAGCATATAAGTGTCTCCCCTTTCTTCAATCTTTATCTGCCTCACGTTACATCCCTCTATAATTATTTAGACTAAACATTGCTATCTTTTATTACTAAACGAATTAGACCAAAACATTATTTTATGGATCACTAAGATTTGATCTCTTCCTTTCCCGTGCGATCGAGCTGTTTATTTTGACTCATCAACCCCTACTCCCTCTCCCACCTCCTCCTCTCGCTTGCTTGTTTCTACACTATGCATGAGTTATTGGTTAGGGTTGGAGTCCTCAGAATATAGAACTTTTTGTAAGAAGTGGTTTACTCCCATATTGTAGACCTATATATGTGCCCACATTAATTTGGATTAGTCGGGCCAATGAATTTCAGATAGAAATGGTTATTAAATAAAAAATAAAACATGGAAACTTCGAAGTGATTACCAAGTCATCGTACACTGGTCTGATATGATTCCACCTTAAGAGCTTTGACATGTCTAAGAGTAATTTTGTTCGAAAGAATTTGAATATTTTAAAGGATATACTTCTATGTAATTTCCTTATGAACTGAAAATATGTAGGAATATATCTTTGTAGTTCAGATCAATCATGTATATGATTAACCAAGTGGATACGGAAGAATGGAGTTTATTCTTGACACTGACGAAAACTTAACCTAATAACCTACTAATGCTTTATTAATCACGTTACAATAGGCACAATCTTAGGCTAATGTCGCAGATTTTGGTGTCATGAAGGCATTTCCCGATTATAAAACTAAGTCTAGAATGCTGATTTAGCAAATAAGTACAATTAGTAATACTTAATTAAGGAAGCCATAATCTCTCACATAATCAAATCTGTAACTACTTGTCCAGATTATAGAGTAGGTTGAATAATTAATTTAACGAACACTTACCTATTTTGATATTAATACTTGAATCGATAACTACCTGTCCAAAAGTTAGTGTTTGTTCGTTCACGGTGGCCAGAAATATATCTTATCTACGCTCTAAAATTGACCAGCAAACATATCCATTTTAGGCCGATTTTACGATCAAATAGAAATGTGTTGTTGTTTTTTTCTCTTTCTGTGGGAACTATTCAATTTCTCCAACAAAACATTGAATATAATGTTAACTATAAGCTTCTCTTGTTGAAACTTTTTTTGTGCATACATTGCTTAAGAAATTGGTAGTAGTTTTTCCAGCTATTTTCAGATACGCGACAAAAACATCGCTTGTGGTTGTGGATAGCACTTTTTGTCCCTAATTTTAGAAATATAGGCTTATTATTTAAGCAATATATGTGTATGGTGTACCAGTTAGAGTGCCAGCATTATTTTAAGAAGACCCATATACATAATAATTTACTCACTAACCACATAATCCATGCAGAGCACATAATTGGCGAATAATACTATATTCGAATATTCGGAACTTTGAATTAATTAAAAAAAATTTAAAGGACAACTGGCATTCATGAAAACTCCAGATCTTTCCTTGAAATAGGGCCCTCTAAGTGCTTTTACCTGTTCTTACCATTTTATTTATTGGTACGTGGAGTTCTTCAGTGAATGGTTGAGATTTCTGAGAATCGGACGAATTACATTTCAAGAGACTATCAGAAAAATAATATATAAAACAATAAGTAGGATTTTCACCCAAAGAGCCAATAGTTTGATGACACTCAATGATTGGTAGTCCATAATATTCATTTTCAGGGCGAGTTTTCAGTGCAAGAAACATGACCCACAAATAATGTTTGGTCTCAGATGCGTAGAGCACGAAGGACAAAAATGGGGACATATTTAATATTGTCACAAGTATAAGGTCTAGTTGGCCACGGTTAAAGTGCAAATAATTTTTTTTAATCATAGTATAAATGGCAAGTATAAGGGATTTGACTGTAAGTCCGCAACAGAAACGTTCAATTTCTGAAGTAGATCAATTTTGGAGGAAAATCTGAGCCTAGAGGTGCAGGCCAATAAGTTAGCGGCCTTTACTTCACTAAAACAGAAAACTTAAAAAGTTGGCGTTGGAGTTTATTTGGATTATTTCTTCGTAAAAGATAAGGCAAAAGACAAGAATGTAGCAGTCGTTCGCAAAAAAACATCTGCATAAGCTTATAATAGATGCAATGCTGTAAGCTGAAACGTTAATAATAGATGCATGGTTTCAAGTTTAAGTTGCTTTGAGCTGAAAGGTGACACACTTTTCTTATTAGTCCGTTCCAAAAAGAATAGATTTCCTAAAACGTTCGGGGCAATGCTTTGAGTGAAAATCACAATGATGTCCTGACCATTGTTTTCCCAGTTAAATCCTTCCCTATTTCCTTTTTCACTGTATAAAAATTGCATAGAGAAAATCCTGTTGCTATGCCACAACGAATTGCATGTAGAAGAGATATAGGAAACTATTAAGAGTGATGATATATTAGAAAACTAGAAAGCCTGTGGCTTAGAATCAAGTGCAAAAACAGTGACTCCATATTGCATGGATAGGTGACAATGCACTCTGTTTCAATCACCACGTTGTTTGAATAACATTTTCCGGAAAATCCTTCTTGTATGAATAAAAACAATAAACGAGCAACATTCCTTGTGTTGCAACAGCTTCTGATGAAAGAATTAGTGACAATGCACTTCGGCAGTGTTACCTATTCAGTGTACAGTAATAAGTGAATCATTCTTTATGAAGATTCACTGCTTGAAGGATTTTATGTTGAAGTGCCACTTGAGGCCCAAAGAATGCAAGTATGCTAATAAACAAAGCCAATATACTGACAATGATTAATACTTAGGTATAATTTGTCACAAGAATGCCTAGTGCAGTCAATCAATTTGATGGATTGGAAGAGATTAGTCAGACCAGCTCGCTTGTCTGCTATGAATGACAAGAATGCTGAATTCCATCAAATAACTGGTGAGTTGGAGGAGATCAATCCAAGTATCTCGTTATGTAAGCTATGATTTGTCACGAGAAAACCACCAGAAGGAAATATAGTTCTCCGTGCAATTTGATCTGCTGCAAAATCAATTGAACTTCCTTCCCAGTCAGTCACCTGAAAAGATTTTGCACACATTGAATAACTAGGAAAAACAGCAAGCCGGACCCATTTATTTTACAAAATAAAGAATTCTGCAAAACAGGATTCATGTTAATTGATGTATAGTCCCACACTTCCCCTCAAGTTGAAGGACAAAGGATATAGTTAAAGCCTTAACAAGGAGAAGAATCAAGCAAAGGATCAAAGGGCACAAAATTCTCCCTTGCTTTACATCCTATTGTGCCAAATAAACAAGGTTGCGAGCAGGCTACATCTGAAAGTTGTACACGCTATGGGGAAGTATCAATACTAGTGCATGGAGGGTCATGTAAGGATCGATATGATAGAAGAGCTATGGTATTTTCATGCTTTTGTTGCCTCTGATTAACAAAAGAGAGTTTGTATCAGGTAGCACATAGTCATTATCATATCTAAGAAGAAGAATCCTAATAATATCACACAGATATATGAAGACCGTTCCTTTTGTGCGATCTGCTAGCAGCTCACAGATATCTTGTCATTCATGCCTCTTTTTAACTTAATAAATGTCTTTTGTGTCTATCAGAGATGGATTAATCATCTAAGAAGGATTAAGAATATATGCCACTCAATTATTCTTCAAACTCTGTTTCTTTTAAGACAAATAGCAGGAATTATGCTTTATGGTATGATAAATTTCACCTCCCAACCATTTCTCAAATTTTCACATATATCCATTAGATCTTGATCATGAACCTGCATTAGACAGTAGCCAAAAGAAAAAGAAGATGACACCTACATCTTGAGATATGCAAAAGGTAGATGTCATCCTAGTATATTTATGTAGGTTTACTAAATATTACACCAGCTGTTCTGTTTTTCTCCCAAGAACTGGTTATAAATGGAAATTAGCAGCTGACAACTTAAGATGAATGCATATGCAGAAAGGAGTACTAACAGAGAGATGCATCGACCACAGAAAGAATAGCAATAGAGAGATGCATACCTTTCCCCCAGCTTCATGAACACATATGATTCCAACAGCATGGTCCCAAGCAGGGGCATAGCCAGAGATTTTCTACAGTGGAGTCATATGTTCATATCAGAATGTTGAACACCCAAAAGAAAGCATATGCTAATTCAATGATCTAAAGGCATCAATATAATGGTTGAGTAAATCCATTAAACTTTGGATGGTTGTTCCCCATTGTATCGTACTGTATTGTTATCCCAAAACAATGTATGTTTTGATTGTTTCATTAAAATTGGTCGTATTGCATTGTTAAATCCATTGTTCCGGAACAATGAAAAGTCCCCTTTTTTTAAACAACCGATTTGGTGTGGTGGAATTATTTCCTATTTTCTTTCCAATTATGCCCTAACTTATTACTCCACAATTATATTTTATCCTTTAGCTTTTTTTGCTATTTTAACTCCAAATCTCCAACCTATAACCTACTTTATTTTTTTCCAGAACTCCTGCCGCCAGCGTTAAAGGTGTTTTGCTGCCTTATGTTTTATTTTTTCTCCTAATTTTCTTTTAACTCAATTCTAATTAGCTGTGCTCCTTTGTTTTGCCTTCTTCTGTCTCACTCCTTTGTTTTGCTTTCTTAAGGTGTTTTACCTTCTTCTGTTTTGTTTTTTAAAATTATTTTTATGCATAATTTTGGATAAATTTAATATGTAAACAATTGCGGGTATTTTAGTAAACTTATCAGTTACAGTACAGTACGATACAGTCAAACCAAACAGAAAAATATTATTTAACAATACAATATCCAAACATTGTATTCATAAAACGATACAATACAATACGATACAATACATTATAAAACGATGGGGAACAATGATCCAAATAGAGTGTTAAAGTAACCAATAAAGGAAGAGAGAAACAACTTTATGAGAAAAATTTCAAATGTCCATGAAGTTATTTTCATATAATTTTGTTCTCCGCGGTAAATGCATTTTTATCCATCTGTATTTCTGATAAAAAAATATATACGAAAATGAATTGCTTGTTATACAGTTGTAATGGGAACCTCAAAAGGGTCGTTTCTCCAAATAACTTTAGACAAGGGACTATAACCCAAACAAGTATGCCTTTCTCGTAATCTCAAGAAAGCACGGAATATCCTATTTTCCTTGTGTGGCATATATTCTTAATCCTTCTTAGATGATTAATCCATCTCAGATAGACACAAAAGACATTTATTAAGTTAAAAAGAGGCATGAATGACAATAGTTAGTTCGCTAACTAACTCTCTTGTTACAACACCAACCCAAGCTAGCTAGGGTCAGCCATATGAATCCTCACTTTCCATGTCGTTCCATATGACCAGTCTGAATTCAATATTCAGAAAATTAGTCTCTAGTACCAGAAGTATTTTTTTTCCTACTAGTATACAAATCACTAAAAGACTACTAACATTGGACCTAAAGTAAACATACAATTTAATTTTATTGTTTATAGAAAATTTAACCAGGGTGAAATGTGTGCTAGCCCAGAATGCACATCATAAAACATATTGATTAACTACAGAGCCTTTGAGGTTGCTGTTATTTGACCCCACTCAACTATAAGTGTCTCCACTTATGGGTCCCAAGCCTACATTTTTAGTGACATGAGGCATAAACTCACTTGACTGCAGTTACCTACATACAATCTGTGAGATTAAGAAATCACCTTCATAACTTTTCTGGTTGTTGCACGAAGAAGAAAAACTGATGCTCTACCAGAAGCCACCATCATATATTTGCACAAACTGCAGAGCAGAAAGAAATTGCATTAAGGAATGTGCAAAAAACATCAAAGAAATGTGAGAAAGTAACTACTTTTTATCCCTAAAAAGAGTCGGAAGAAAATGTGATAAATTTACAATTCAACTATTCATCCTACAAGGGAGTCTAATTTAGAGTATCACTAGAAGAACATACAGAATACGACCGTTGTGATTCTGTCCTGAGGTAATGTAAAATAGGGTCCCCCAATCTCTAATGGATGTGATTCATGAGCCTCTATCGAAAATAAATTAAATGATGGTAACTCAGTAGCCATCCAAAATTCCAAATACACCTAATACCAAAATATTGCTAAGAAACAAGTTTCCTTCAGAGAAAGAGGGTGGTGGTGTTAGCTGGTGCTCTGACAAGACTAATCAAACAGATTAATGACAGGTATAATCGTCAAATATTGATCATTTCGGATGGATGTCAACAGCACAATTAGTGTGTCGTCACAGAGGTCAAGTAACAGCAAATTATAAGCTTCTGCAAAAATTAACAAGAATCAGATGCTATTCGATATAACTAACTTAAAGACAACTTATGTAACCAATGTCCTGCTCAAATTATTTCAGGTATGGACTTTGAAGAATAGCAGACAATATCACACTGTTCAGTAAGAAATTGTCAAACGCCTGTAGACTGCCACCTGCAGACTCTACGTAAACATGAGCTTATGACATGAGGGACCATTGTACACAAAGAAACAAGTATCTAAAGGCGCCAACCAGCACTAATAGCTACAGTTTTAGCAATTTTGGTGGAGAGAGAAAGCTTAACATTACTGGCACAAATAAGATATCCTGAAACAGAGAATTCTTTTTTGGGACAAGTTCCTGAAAAAGAGAAACACTAAGATTAGAGGATAAAAATAGGCCCAGAGGTGGTGGAAAATATTCGTCTAGATGTTTCCCTTCCCAACTGTGGTTCAGACAGTTTGATGATCATGAACAAACATCAAGTCCTTGTACAAAGGCACCACTGTTAAGATATTCACTGCATTTGTATGCATAAGATTCGTAGTAATAGAGGTCTTATATTATGGTTAGATCATATCAGCTTAAATCCTATCAGAAATCACAAGTATGCTACCAACATGTGAAGGATATGCCAGTCAGGTGTAAAAGCAGTTTTATCACATGTTGCCCTATTTAAGTGTGCTTGTGACCTGTTTTCCAACAAAAATGCTATAAAAGGATCATTCAACTAATATTAATTTTCTTCAGCTCCACATTTATCTAACACAGTTTTCTTACAAGGCTTAGTATCACAATTTTTATTTAATTGTCAGCTCCTAATTCAAAATGCATCCACGAAATCGGAGGCCCATCCTGTTTGAAAACATTACATAAATGTCAACTGTAGGCAAGTGAGAATTTCTCATGACACATCTAAGCAACAATTCTTGCTAACATAATGTTTTAACAATAATCTTTGACACGAAGACATCACCTTCCACAGCATGCAGGCACAAGAAGGATGTCCCCTTTCCCTATTTCATCAGAGTTTGTTTTCGCATTAAATGAGGATGATAGAGGCAAAGATTCCCATTTTTGACTTTCTGGAGTACAAAAACGTGCCTCCTTAAGTACTTGGCACCCATCGACATAGCATCTTGTCCAACTTTGAGGCAACTTGATGGTTAACATGTCTGACAACCTTTGTTTCCATGTTCCACAACCCAAATGAGAAACCATGATCATCCCTGATCTGGAGAAATTGCTTCCAGTTTCTTGGACCCCGGTGGCACGATTAACAAAATAGTCTTCATCCCAGTTAGGGCACCCCATAACTCCCAAGACAATCTGTCCTTCAACCACAAGAGCCAAAGCCACCTGACAACAAATCTTAGCCAAATAAGTTGAAGAAGCAGTAAGAGGTATAAATCTCAATTCAAGCAACTGACAAATCCTAGAAGAACATGCAATAATTGAAAGCTATGTAATCGTGTATATAATGTAGGACTCTTTAGTTACAAAGACTTCTTGTTTGGAGAAACATTAATTACCTTAACCTGAAACATCGCGCTATCAGAGAAAGCAGAATGAAACCAAAGAGGATGAGGGGATACCAAAAGGAAAAGTCTGATGTGAATGAGACTTAAGATTAACAGTACCACACTTTCTAGTGTTATTCCAAAATAAAGATTTTCCCCGTGTAACATCATTTCCCAGTCCTTTTTGGATTGATCTGAATTCTTGCCAGTTTGATGGGTAGACGAGAACTTACTGAAAGTGATGGAACTAATAGCACCCACCCTATAGAGTATTTGATTGAAAATTAGCAGGCTCCTTGTAATAGATGAACTACAAGCGCAATACATCAAAACCTTATAGTGAATAGGATAGTACTAGTAAATAATCTGCATCTTTCCGGATTTTTCCCTCTCAAGTGAAAAGTCACCTATTATGTGTCTACAACAAACAAGGAAATATCATGATGAACCGCTATTAATAAGAACATAAGATACTTCTTTATTTTTTTCTTCACCAAAATTTCCACGAGATTAGATGCCAAATCGATTAACCTATTCTTCTCTTTTTCTGCACATATCATATTTTGCAGGGTTACAAGATTAAGGGCATGTTGTATCACTAATGTGAAATTGCCAACCAAAGACCAACTTGAAAATCTGTACACCTCATAACTTTGAGGATCACTGTAACAACTGCTATCTGAATTAACATTTGCGCTTCATAATACATAGGTTCCACACGATTAAAATCAATTTTCCCATCCATGTTACCGTTGCATTTTCTACTGATGCTTCCATATTATCACCAGCAATATCATCTATTTCACATGGAAAGGTGATAGCTCAAATTCTCATCATTATATTATCATCCTCAAGAAAGCTTGACCAAATCAAGGTTTCTGCTGCAACAAATCTGAACTTAACTGACTATAGAGCAAAACCAGTTGGAGTGATTATACAAGTATAAAGAGCAGATTTCCTGACCCACTGACAGCTGAAGGCTAGTATTGGTGCTCCACGAGGGATTGAGGAAGATGCATAAAGCTTTTAATATTTAAACAATACTGCTAATTGCCTAATTCCTTGAAAGTTCATTGGATCTAAGTGGCTTACTCAGAAAATCGTGTCTCTCAACCTCAGCAAGACAAGAAATAATGGCCAATGAACACAATGGGCAGAAGGAAGAGACTGATTTGGAGATAATCCCACACGACTATTACCCGCTACCTTTAGCCATTGCCATGGAAAACAACCTCACATGCTAAGCTGTTCTCTTCATTGAAATTCCTCTCCTCCTTGTTTTTATGTTGGTTGGGAAGTAAAAAGAACATATTAAAGACGCTAAAGAAAGAATAGTAAGAGAAAAATAGAGATTAAGGACATACCACATAGAGAGCTTCAACACCTTTAACAAACCCTCGTGTCCCATCAATAGGATCTAGTACCTGTACCAGGTCCATGAAATTTTACAAAATAGTCCACAACCTCATGATAGTAAAATGCAATCACAAATTCAGGTTCTGTTACATTTCATTAGTACGGAAGCTAAGATGTCAAATTTCTTCTTGAGCATAAAAAAATCATCCAGAGTATAGACACCATCAGACTAGAAAAAGCACTTTCCACAACAAATTCATTGAACTATAAGCCCTTAATATCTTAGTGTACGAATATTAGCAAAGAACTCTTGGCATTTGTGCATGGAAATACAGGACATTATCTGGTATCTGAGAATTAAAAGGAGGCAGTATATATCACGAAATAGGGACTATCAAAGGCCATGTAAATCTTCTGCTTCCTTCCTCTGGACAGCATGATAGTTGTTTATTGGGACAGTGTGATACTTGTTTTTCCTTGTCATAGAAGCAAAAGTATATCTATTTGCCTTTCAATGACTTCTCAAATATTAAAAAGACACCACCAACTAAATGTACACGTCAGAAAAACAAAATGTAAAGATGTATCCAAAGTGGAATTAGAAAATCTGTTGTTCCCTTTCCCAGGAATTCCCCCCTTAATGTAAAGGTTTCAGAGAGATGAAGATTTTATCCGTGAAAGTTAGTGAATACTGCTCTAAAGTCGATCTCAACTTACCCAGTATGTGGCTGGCTTTGGCCCAAAAGTACAGGCATCCTTTCCCCCTCTGTCAATTGCTTTCAAGACACTATCTTCTGTTACTTCGTCTCTGAGAGTTGCTTTATTCACAACCACATCAACCACTGATCCGACTAGATTAGTTGACCGCAAGAATGATGAATCCTCTTCAGCCACCAAAGGAATGGAAGGGAAGAGTCTGTTCATCTCTATCAGAATAGGATGTGATAGAGTAAGAGAAACAATTCAGCTCTGTTCCAAGAGAATAAAGAAAGAGTCAGAAGGGAAAGAAGGCAGTGTCCATCATGTCTGATCATTCTTAAACAATTTGATAGCTGATTAGCTACATTTTCATGTAACAAGAAAAATGCATGCCATGGGTATTTATTGCTTTGACTCAAAGTAAAGTGTTCATGTCTTCCTCAATAGATTATTGGGGGTTGCTTTGGATGTTATAGCAGAACGTTAGACAATTAGAGGGAGGTTCCATTACAGTATCAATCTAGCATACAACCTTATTTACTCTATGAAGCAGAAAGCAACTTGAAGAACATGTAATAGGTGGACAAACATTCTTAATAGAGGAAAAGCATGTGGTAAGACAAATTAAATCTCCAACATGCTTGGTGTCTTTTCCGCTTCCCAGTTTTATAAAGTATTGTTGGAAACTGCAACACTTTCAATTCAATAATCAAGGAAAAACTGAAGAAGGTTTCAAGAAAGCAAATTGAATTACCCAAGCTAACCAAAGCCTGCACGCCGAAATCTGCAATAGTGACTGGGGTTTGGTCATTTTTCTCAAGAATCCTATCATCATTGGAGAACAATGAGCTCTTCACCTACAACCATGAAAATTAAAAAGCAGAACTTTTAATTGATAAAATGATAACATCACTTGACAGACTACTAATCCCCCGATTTTTTCGTTAAGCTATTTTTGGAGCTCAAAAGCATACAATAAAATTTCACCAGAACTAAATGACTGATGTTATCTCGTTAGAGAAAAGCTAACAACTTTTGTCTCCAAGATCTATAATCTTTTACATTGAGTACACCGTAAATATGTCACGTACCAAAATTGCAAGTACTAGATCAAAACTAAAATATTGTAGAATAGCAGAGAGGAAGTTCATAATTTCAGGTGTAATAAGCATTAACAGTCTTTCTACATAGGTGTTCAACTGCAATTACAATAACATTAGCACGAAATATTCTCGCATTTGAAAGAGAAACTAGTGTTTTGCTGAAAACAAACTAAAATTGACTAGCAGCAGCATTTCAATCCAATTAACCAAATGCACCTCAAGATAATTAGTTAACTCAATCAGTTAATCAACCAATCAAACAACTAAAAGCCTTAGTCCCAAGCTAGTTAAAGTCAACTGATGAATGTTCTATAACCAACTTTCGATACTAAACTATCAAAATATGTGACTCTGGCTAAATAAAAAGAAATTTTACATCAATGCAAAGACGGCAAGCTCGCTCGACAACATCAACGGCAGCTTCAAGCTCTCTATAGTATTTTGCTTTCTGCTCAGGGAATGGGAGGCTCAAACTCGACCTGCAAAAGGCAGAAACTGTACCCATTTAGGATCGGTTAAGACGAGTGAAGCAGCAGAGCGCAGCGCGAGAGAGGAATCAGCTATGAGGGACCTCACGGCGGCGAAGCATGGGCGAAGTGGCGAACGTCGGAGACGAGCATTAGGCAAACGGACGGCGGAGCACCGGAGGAGATCCATCGAGGTACAATAACTACTGCTAAAGGTACATGGTTTGTTGTGCTATGGATGGGTCAGCGGGAAGGGTAGGCTTCCAACGGTTGAAATTGGCAGAGGCTCTTCTGTTGAGTTCTTCCCACGTGCTCACTCCAATTTATATTCTCATTTTATTTATATTTATTTTGGCTTTAAAAAGTGTTAATTTGCACTGAATTAATGGAACTATGACTGAATTACAACATGCGAGGACAATTCAGCAACACATCTTTTGATTTCATAGAAGAAAGAGAAGAGAGAAGAAAATGAGCTCTTAGCTCTCTTAATTTCGGTTGAACACAGTAATAACGGACTTAGTCATTTTATTGACTGAGTTGGTTATTACTTCAAATACCACCAAATAACACCCCTAAGTTTCACCATTTTCACATTAGTCCTAATCACTAACTAACAGTTAATTTGGCAATTTCACACTCCCCTCAAGCTGGAGGGTGAGAAAACATTGAACAATCCTAGCTTGGATATTAGAACTCTATGTTGCTCAGCTCCTAACCCTTTAGTCATCACATCTGCGAGCTGTTCCTTAGTGGAAATATATTGAGGTCTAATCAACCCCTCTTTGATCTTTTCTCTCACAAAGTGGCAGTCAATTTCTATGTGTTTCGTTCTCTCATGGTAGACTGGGTTGGCTGCAATTTGCATAGCTGTTTTGCTATCACAGTGCAGCATCACTGGCTCCCTTATAGTCAATCCCAGCTCCTTCAGCAAGCCTACTAGCCAAACTAACTCTGAAGTTACTGCTGCCATACTTCTATATTCTGCTTCAGCAGAACTCCTGCTCACAGTTGGGTGCTTTTTTGATTTCCATGAAATCAGTGATTCTCCTAGTTTTATTACATAACCAGTCACTGATCTTCTTGTATTTGGGCAAGCTGCCCAATCTGCATCACAATAAGCTGTGATTTCTTCTACTGCTCCTTTCTTTAACAGCAATCCCATTCCTGGTGATCCCTTTATGTATCTAACCACTCTCAATGCAGCATCCAAATGTGATTGTTTTGGATTCTGCATGAACTGGCTCAAAACTTGAACAGCAAAACAAATATCTGGTCTTGTAATAGTGAGGTAAATCAGCTTTCCTATTAGTTTCTGATAGCTTACAATATCCTGCAGCTCTTCATCCCCCTTAACTTCTGCATGCTTGTCATACTCAACAGTTGTCAACTTGATATTCTGTTCTATTGGAGAACTAGCTGGTTTTGCACCACTCAACCCCACTTCTGAGATTAGTTGAAGTGCATACTTCCTTTGGTTAAGCACAATTCCCTTATCTGATCTCATGAGCTCAATTCCCGGGAAGGATCTTAGCTCACCTAAATCTTTCAGCTTGAGATGCTTGTGTAGGATTGCCTTTGCCTCTTCCACCAGTGTATTGTTGCTCCCAGTAATCAGTAAGTCATCCACATACACAAGGATGATTACCAAATCTGCATCTGTCTTCCTTGTAAATAGGGATTGAGCATAGGCACTTTGCAAGTATCCTTCACCTATCAGTGCATCAGTTAATTTGATATTCCACTACCTTGATGCCTGTTTGAGGCCATAAAGGGACTTGAGTAGCCTGCAAACCTTGGACTCCCCCTGCTTATGAAATCCCTGAGGTAATGCCATGTACACTTTCTCATACAAATCACCTTGTAAGAAGGCATTATTAACATCCATTTGGGACAAAGACCAGCCTTTAGAAACTGCTAGATTGATCACAGTTCTGACTGTCACCATCTTGGAAACAGGTGAAAAGGTTTCATGATAGTCCAAACCTTCTTGTTGTGTATATCCTTTTGCCACCAGCTTGGCTTTGAACCTCTCCACCTCACCATTAGCTTTGTGCTTGATTTTATAAACCCACTTTGAGCCAACAGTCTGCTTTCCTGGAGGGAGATCTACCACTTCCCATGTTTTGTTTTCTTCTAGTGCCTGAATTTCCTGTTGCATTGCCTTTATCCACCTATCATCTTGTGATGCCTCCTGGAAACTTCTTGGTTCCACTTGGGCTGAGAATGAGTTGAGATAACATTGGCAGTGTTCTGAAAGGTGATCGTAGCTTACATAATCTGTAAGTGAATAGAGACAGTCTCCTCTTGGTTTGCAAGTAGTCACATAATCCTTGAGCCACACTGCTGGTCTTTGTGTTCTTGTAGATTTCCTAGTCTCTGTAGGTTGTTGCACAATTGATGGCACTTGCTCAAGTACCTCCTCTGTATGTTCTGGTTGCTGTACCTCTTCATGTTCTTGTTGTTGTGAGGTACTTTGCCCATCCCTCTCATCTGAACTCTGTACCTCCATGTCATTAGTTGTCTCATTCAGTGACATATTTGGTAAAGTATCTATCTCAGCTTCAATTGCTATTCCCAGATCATCATCAACCATAGGTGTTAAGGCAGGCTGATCTTGTGTGGCTGTTGTTGGATCAGTATCAGGGATGAATAAGCTCTCAGGTTGCCAAGGTAAGTTCTTAAAAGGGAATATGTCTTCTCTGAAACTTACATCCCTGCTTATCAAGAACTTATTTGACTCCAAGTCATATAGCTTATACCCTTTCTGCACTTCAGAGTATCCAATGAACACTGATTTCAAAGCTCTTGCTGCAAATTTGTCCCCTCTTGGCAGTGTACTAGCATAACATAAGCATCCAAATACTCTAAGCTGATTTATCTTTGGTGTTTTCCCATAAAGTCTTTCATAAGGTGATTTTCCACTCAGCACTGTTGTGGGCAACTTATTGATTAAGTAGACTGCAGTTTTCACACAGTCCCCCCAAAATCTAGCAGGTATGTTGCTTTGAAATTTCAATGATCTTGCCACCTCCAATATGTGTCTATGTTTCCTCTCTACCACTCCATTTTGTTGTGGAGTGTAGGGGCAACTACTCTGATGAACTATTCCCAGGGATGCAAGTAATTCATTGCAGTTTTCATTGAAAAATTCTCTACCATTGTCAGATCTCAACACTTTTATGGAAGAATTAAACTGATTTTTCACAAGAGAAAAGAAATCTTTTAGTACCATTATTACTTCACATTTAGAATGCAGCAAACAAATCCAAGTGTATCTTATGGGTGTTTAACGGGTGGGCCGGGCCGGGCTGGGTAGGGAATTTTTGTACCCGTACGGGTTATGGTCCGGGCCGGTTACGGGTTGGGGCTTAACGGGTTTAACGGGTTCGGATTCATTCGGGTAAAAATTGAACCGTAAGGGTTACGGGTTGAGGGGGCCGGGCCGGGCCGGGTTTAGTGTATTTTTTTTTGTATTTTGTATAACTATTGTAAGTTATATTAATACTTTGTATTAATATAAAGAATACAAGGAGGATGGGAATAAATTGCAAGTGCTACATTTATTTCAAAATTACGAAATTGAAGTTTGCATTTAACAAGTAAATTAAACTAACAAAAAAAAATAGTAATTTTAAGCATAAATACGTCTAATAATTTTAAAATAAAAAAATTAACAAAAAAATAGTAATTTTAAGCATAAATACTTGAAGTTTGCATAATAATACTTCAAATTAATCTAACAAACTAAAACATTAAGCATAAATACGTCTAATAATTTTAAAATAACACGAATTGTCTCAAATCAACTTAAATAGGAATTTCCGGAGGACGCTCAAGACAATTCTTTATATGCCTCCTTAAACTGCCTGTACCACACTTTGGACGACGATTTAAGACTAGACCACAGTTCTTGCACTTTACTTTCTGAACTTCTTCATTTTCTTCTACCACCTCAAAGTGTTCCCAAACATAGAATTGAGAATTGAGAGATGAGTGAAGAAATGAGGAGGGGGGGTATTTATAGTTTTTCAAAGGGGGGTTAATTTTAAAAAAAAACAAAATGGGCTATTTGTGCAATTCAGCCGTTGGGCAACTGCCATTTTCTGAAATGGACCGTTGCCAACGGTCAGATCTGGGCCCAGTTTTTAAAAAAACAAAAAAAAAATAATTTTTTTTTATTACCGTTAAATCGGTCTGGGCCGGTTAACCGGTTTCATAACACTGTTCATCGACCGGGTTATACCGGTCCGGGTAACCGGTATTTTGAAGGTGAACGGTGCAACCCGCGAATCATCCTTAACCCAGCCCAACCCAGCCCACTTGTACCGGTTCGGGCCGGTTCCGGTTTTAACCGGTCTGGGCCGGTCCGGAACCGGGCTGACCCAGCCCGTTTAACACCCTTAGTGTATCTGCTATAGTCATCTACTATGGTTACAAAGTATTGCTTCTTGTCATAAGTTGCAATTTTGTATGGTCCCCAGACATCTACATGTATAAGCTGAAAAATATGATCAGATTTGTGACTACTAATAGGAAAACTTAGTCTACTTTTCTTAGCCAATGGGCAAATCTCACAGAACATCTGCACATCTTTATTCACTTTATTCGTTAGATCTGGCAAGCACTGCAATGCACCTATAGAAGCATGTCCCATTCTTTGATGCCACAATTCTGCACTTATCTCTTCCTTCTTGACTGATCCAGCTACTATGTCATCTTCTTCACTTCTGATTATGTACAAGCCTTCATCTTCTCTACCAATCCCCAATACCCTGCCATTGTAAAGCCCCTAAAATACATAAAAACCAGGGTAGAAGCAGGCCGAACAACACAAATCTCTGGTCAACTTAGATACTGATATGAGATTGAATTTGAAGTCAGGTACATGTAGGACATTTCTAATCTTCTGCCCTCCTAGTATTGTTGCATCACCTGTGTGTACTATTTCTGATCTACCTCCTGTGGGTATTTGAACTCCTCTATTATTTCCTTTGTTGATTCTCCTTATATTTCTAAAACTTCCTTACAAAAGGTGATATGGTGTGATGCCCCTGGATCTACTATCCAATCATATGATCTTGCATTAGATAGCAGTGACTTTATACCTGTCATATTTGCTGAACTTGAAGTGTTGTTGGAGTTTCCTTCTGTGGATGATTTTGTCAACAGGTTCACCAGGTGCTTGTACTGATCTTCAGTCATGTAATTTCCTTGTGGCTGTTCATTCACTGTTACTTCTTTCTCACCATTGACATTGTTAGCATATGTTTTTGTAGGAAACTGACTCTTCTTTTTACTTTTGAAATATGCAGGGTATCCAATTATTTTGTAGCAATTCTCCTTCAAATGCCCTTTGTATCCACAGTGCTCGCAGATTATACCTACTTTCTTCCCTTTCATGAATTGATTTCCTTTTCCTGCTAACATTATCATTGGCTCCCTATTTGACTCGACTACTCCTAATTCCCTTGGACTTTCTTCTTGCACCACAAGAGCATAGGCTTGATTCACAGTAAGAATTGGCCTTTTTAGTAACACTCACATGACTATAACTCTCGTTTAATCCCATTAAAAATTGTAAAAGCCTTTGTCTCACCAGGTGATCTACATATGGACGTGATTCCTCACAATCACATGAGGGGTGATTGTGAAAACTGTTAGTTAGTGAATAGGACTAATGTGAAAATAGTGAAACTTAGGGGTGTTATTTGGTGGTATTTGAAGTAATAACCAACTCAGTCAATAAAATGACTAAGTCGGTTATTACTGTGCTCAACCGAAATTAAGAAAGCTAAGAGCTCATTTTCTTCTCTCTTCTCTTTCTTCTATGAAATCAAAAGATATGTTGCTGAATTGTCCTTGCATGTTGTAATTCAGTCATAGTTCGATTAATTCAGTGCAAATTAACATGGTATTAGAGCCAGGCCCATCCCAATTTAATGTTACCGTTGTTGGGCCCCCATTTATATTGTCCACGCTCCAGTTGCAGGCCTGGGCGTGATGGGGGTGTTGAGTTGTGTCCCACATCGGTGGGTTATGGATATCTTGGTCTCCTTATATGATCTTGGTCAATCTTCACCTCACAAGCTAGCTTTTGGGGTTGAGTTAGCCCCAAGGTCCATTCTTAACAAAAAGCACTTAACTTATTAAACAATTTTAGTGTTTATTAAACATGAAAATAAAGGAATTTGCAAAAACACCCTTGTATTTCAAGCAAAGATTTTTCAGTTACTCCGACACAACACAGTTAAGGAGAAACCGAGAAAGCAAATGAGCTCAATTAGGTTCACAAAAGATGGTTTTAATGGAAACCCAGAAATAGAGGAAAGTATACGATGAAAATTGACAGACCCTGAACCGGCAGAGCTACCTGAATGCTACCTAAAGACTATCAAAGCTTCATGGTTTTATTTATTTTTGGAGCAAATGAGCTCACACTGAGTGTTGAGACAAACGGAGATTGCTAAGTTTGACTTCAATTCACTCTATTAAATCTTCATGTTTTCGAAGAGAATTATTCATCACCTTTACAAGTCTTCTGATTATCTTCGCCAGGTAAAACTTTTCTATATCTTTTCTTTCTTTTGCTACTTTTTTATAGAAAAATATTCTTTTCCTCCTTTTTCTTTTCAAACATTTTTTCATTTTTCCCTTCCAATTTACAGGAAATTTGGCATTTTCAATATTGGAAACCATTCAGATTGAACAATTGTACTTTTACTACCTGTGCAAGTATAAATTCGCTGGTTCTTGATGATTTTTCAGATGAAGAAAATGTATATTATCCATCTATTATTCATTCTCATATAGCGAAAGACAATGGCTATTTTGATCATACTTATTATCTAAGCCTACTAGGTAGTTGCTTGAGTGAAGGGTCAATTGTAGATGCCAAGAAACTACATGGGAAGTTGTTGAAATTGGGATTTGGCTCAGATTATAGGATCGGTGCTAGGTTTCTTGATATTTATGTTGCTGGTGGAGATTTATCTAGTGCATTGCAAATATTTGATAATTTGCCAAGTGGGATTAGAAATGTGTCTTGTTGGAACATATTATTGTCTGGTTTTACACGGACGAAAAGAAATGATGCAGTTCTAAATCTGTTCTCTCGAATGTTAAGAGAATATGTTAATCCAGATGAGTGCACATTTTCTCAAGTTCTACAAGCCTGCAGTTATAACAAGGCTGCTTTTCGTTTTCGGGGTGTTGAACAGATTCATGCATTGGTTATGCATTGTGGTCTTGGATTGAAGCTGATTGTTTGTAACCGTTTGATTGATTTGTATTCTAAGAACGGATTAGTAGATTCTGCTAAGCAAGTCTTTGAGGATATGGTGGTAAGAGATAGTTCTTCTTGGGTTGCCATGTTGTCTGGCTTTTGTAAGAACGAGCGAGGAGAAGATGGTATTCTCCTATATAAGGATATGCGTAAATTTGGAGTTATTCCTACTCCATATGTTTTCTCGAGTGTTATAAGTGCATCCACAAAAATAAAAGCTTTTGATTTGGGAGAACAGCTCCATGCTAGTATCTATAAATGGGGATTTTTAACTAATGTTTTTGTTGGTAATGCTCTTGTGACATTGTATTCTCGGTGTGGATACTTAACATTAGCAGAACAAGTATTTATTGAAATGCCGCAGAAGGATGGAGTTACCTATAATTCGCTAATCTCTGGTCTCTCTTTGAAAGGATTCAGTGATAAGGCTCTACAGTTATTCGAGAAAATGCAGTTAGGTTCGTTAAAACCCGATTGTGTTACAATTGCAAGCCTCTTGGGTGCTTGTGCATCGTTAGGAGCTCTTCAGAAGGGAAGACAATTGCATTCCTACGCAACAAAGGCAGGTCTATGCTCAGATAGCATAATTGAAGGTTCTTTACTTGACCTTTATGTTAAGTGCTCTGACATTGAAACAGCCCATAAATTTTTCCTTGGAAGCCAGATGGAAAACATTGTTCTGTGGAATGTGATGCTCGTGGGTTATGGACAGATGGGTGATTTGGATGAATCATTCCAAATCTTTTCGCAAATGCTGGTTAAAGGGCTACAACCTAATCAATACACATACCCCAGTATATTGAGAACTTGTACATCTGTTGGTGCTCTGTATCTTGGAGAGCAAATACATAGCCAAGTATTAAAAACTGGCTTTTGGCAGAATGTATATGTGTGTAGTGTGCTTATAGATATGTATGCCAAGCATGAAAAACTGGATGCAGCAGAGAAAATCTTTTGGCGTCTGAATGAGGAAGATGTTGTATCTTGGACATCCATGATCGCTGGATATGCTCAGCATGACTTGTTTGTTGAAGCTCTAACACTTTTTAGAAAAATGCAACACCATGGTATTCGATCAGATAACATAGGATTTGCAAGTGCAACTAGTGCATGTGCCGGCATTCAAGCACTCGATCAAGGGCGACAAATCCATGCCCAGTCAGTGGTGTCAGGCTACTCATTAGATCATTCAATAGGCAATGCATTGATTTTTCTCTATGCTAGATGCGGCAGAATACAAGATGCGTATGCAGCATTTGACAAAATTGATACCAGAGATATTATTTCGTGGAACGGCTTGGTATCAGGATTTGCCCAAAGTGGATTTTGTGAAGAAGCACTGGAAGTGTTTTCTAGATTGAATGGAGATGGAGTGGAAGCTAACATGTTCACATATGGATCTGCTGTTAGTGCAGCTGCTAATACCACCAATATTAAACAGGGGAAGCAGATTCATGCTAGAATAATAAAGACTGGTTATAATGCTGAAATAGAAGCTTCCAATGTCCTGATCACATTGTATGCAAAGTGTGGAAGCCTTGTGGATGCCAGGAAAGAGTTCCTTGAAATGCAAAATAAGAACGATGTGTCATGGAATGCCATGATAACTGGTTATTCTCAACATGGATGTGGTAATGAAGCTATAGAACTGTTTGAGGAGATGAGACATCTTGGTGTGAAGCCGAACCATGTCACCTATTTGGGTGTTTTATCAGCCTGTAGCCATGTGGGTTTGGTGGACAAGGGGCTTTGTTATTTCAATTCGATGAGTAAAGATTATGGTTTAATGCCAAAACTAGAACATTATGCGTCTGTTGTAGACATTTTAGGACGAGCTGGCCATTTGCAGCGAGCAATGAAGTTTGTGGTGACTATGCCAATCGAACCTGATGCAATGGTTTGGAGGACCCTCCTAAGTGCTTGCATAGTTCAAAAGAACATGGAAATAGGGGAAGAGGCAGGTAAACATCTCTTAGAATTGGAGCCTCAAGACTCAGCAACTTATGTTTTGCTATCAAACCTGTATGCAGTTCTTGGACGATGGGATTCTCGGAACCAGACAAGGCTGCTGATGAAAGACAGAGGTGTTAAGAAAGAGCCAGGTCGTAGCTGGATTGAAGTTAAAAACACCATCCATGCATTTTTTGTTGGAGATAGACTCCATCCACTAGCAAATCATATATATGACTTTGTGGAGGAACTAAATAAACGTGTAGTCATGATTGGTTATGTGCAAGACAATAATAGCCTTTGGAATGATTTTGAGTTGGGACAAAAAGATCCAACTGCTTATATTCACAGTGAAAAGTTAGCTATTGCATTTGGACTTCTAAGCTTGCCTGAAATGTTTCCGGTACGGGTGATGAAGAATCTTCGTGTATGCAATGACTGCCATAATTGGATAAAGTGTGTGTCTAAGGTTGCTAATCGGGCCATTGTTGTACGAGATGCATACAGGTTTCATCATTTTGCAGATGGAGACTGTTCCTGCAATGATTTTTGGTAATTGGAACTATTGAGGGGTGCAGTGTGGTGAAGAGGGGTTTAGGTTCTAGAAGTTGGAGATATCATAGTAAACTACCAGTGCTTTGAGATTGATGCTCTGGATACCTTACCAATACCTCTCTGGATACCTTACTAATAGAGGTATTAATACTTTACCTTGATAATATTTTCGTTATAACCTTGGTTTAAAAGTCAATTTATCTTCTGTTATTCAGGTCAACTATAGTCCGTAATATTCGTGTCTCTTTTCACTTATCAAAAGTTCCCTATGATCTATTTCTGTGCCCGTTTTCTTCAGATCTGGTATTGCTACTGATCTTAATTACAATGATTAAACGCACCCTTTTCTCCTTTAGGAAGCAGAATTAAATTTAGGTGTTACTCTATTCTGTGAAAATTTAAAAGGAACGATGTGCTATCTTCTCGATAAACTCATTAGTACTCCACAATCGTTTGTTATTAACTATGAAGCATACATACTGCTATGTCGATGTTTGCATATACCAGACAATTAGAAGTTGAAACTTCTGGAGTATGTAAACTTGCTTCTTTTCCAATCAGTCAAAAGATGACTGGTTAGCTCTGACCATCTGTAAACACATCCCCTACTGATCAACAAAGGTTGTATGCACTTCTTCTCTTGTGCTTGTAAGAGGTTGCTTCTGAGTGTTACCTTTGTCATATATTGTTTACTTCAATTATACTGGAATGTAAGGAATAGCACCAGTGCATTTCTGACTTCTTCCTAAAATAATTCTGTTTTCTCCGGGAGGTCTTTGGACCCTTATTAGTCCAGTTAAAGTTTACCTTGCTAATGATATTTGCATGCATTGCTCATTTCATAGTCTGCATCTTTTGTTTCCCAGATGAACCTGGCAAGCAAGTTTGAAGTGCTATCAAGATAAAAACACTAGCAAGTCTCACATAGCTTTCAATCTTCCAGGACAGTCTAGTGGTAAGAGCACAGTATGATGTGTGGGTTAGGCGCACGTCAAGGATTTGAATCCACCCCAGGCTTTAGTATTTAAGTGGAGAATGGTAGAGAGGTGAGTCTATTATCCACCAAGTTCCGAACTCTGCGCCACGCCCTCCGGGGTATTTGTCGGTTATGAAAAAAATGTCTCAATTAGCTTTCAAGGTAGCCAAATAATCGGGGTTTTCATCTCTTCCAATTTGTGGCAACCTTGCTCTCTTCTGGCTCCTCTTTCTTTTAGTTTCACTCTGGATTGAATCTCTTTGGAGAATATATATATTGACATATTTATTTAATATGTATTGATGTGTCTACATGATTGGTGCTGTTCAACTGCAGTGCACCAGTTCCAAACAACTGGACCAAAAAGCTGTTTCATGCATCCTCGCGCTCGCGGAGTGATTTATTCCTGGTGATAGTTGCTGGTAATGTTCTTCACTCTTAGTTTATGCCCTTTTCTTTCATGTTGTAATTGTCTATTTGTAGCCGAGTAATCTTGCCATGCAATTATCCTGATTTACTTCTGTCAATGTCATAGTAATCAAATTTGCACAGCATCCAGAGAATAATGAAAAACAGAAGGATCAAAAGAGTAAGCTGAGCTTCAAATTCAAAATCATGAGCCTCAGGGTGAAAGGACCAATGGAGTATCTGAGTTGGTTAGTAGATTATGTGCCGTTGTTTGGTGCCTTCACGAACAATGTAAAATTTTCTTTTAACGATGGTAGTGTTCGGGCCGGTTTCCACCAAGTTACTCGTCATAGATGGATGGTTGAGCTACCATTAGAGAACTAACCTTGTAAGTTTTTGTCCCAACATGTCCATGTTTCACAACCTGTTCTGATGCAACTCGAGATCTGTAGCTTTGGCTGGAAAAAGATTACCACTCTTGTTGATGCGGGTAGTTGGTTGTTAGGACAGATGTTATGTTTATGGTATTGATAATACAAATTAGTGGAACATTCCTAATGTAGAATTTCAACGTTCAATTACAGTTACTTGGCATAGCTACAAAGCTGTATATAAATGTGATTTTTTCAAGAAAGGGGAGAGTTTTCAGTTTTGTCAGACACATGATTTTCAAATCTATCCAAATTAACGTACAATTGACACAACTCACGACTTATAATTGTGAACTGCTCGAAAATACAAACATGAGATTCAGGAAGTGTTATCAATAAGGTTTTTGATCGGGATCTTAAGTAAGGAAGACAAAGTTGCAGATACTTTCCCTCGGGGTAATGGCTAAGATAATCTCTGTGCGCCAAGTGGGTGATGGAGCTCAAATAGTTGTACAGTTGGACGATGTACACCATCGTCCAACTGTAGTGCCTTGTTGGTAAGGTCAGCTGTCATTTCCTCTAATCTCCTGGAGAGTTTCTAAACAAATAGTGTTACCAAGAACAAATCATATGTGATATATAAAAATAACACGGGAGTAACTTCTTCACTGAATGGAAAAGAAAAACATCCTCACTTCATCATAGTACCTTATGAAGGAGAAAAAGATATACCTGTAAAATTATATTTTGACTGCAGTACAGATGAAAGAGAAATCTTCAGAAAATTTTTATTTTGTACCTCACACAACTGACACTAATTGTGTGAGGCCTCTTTTTTGTCTCACAACTGTGTGGTCCCAGAATTTTGTGGACCCAGATGTGTAAGATGTGGGTCCACAAATATGTGAGATAGAAAGAGGCCTCACACAACTAGTGTAAGTTGTCTGAGGCACAAAATAAAATCACTCAAATCTTCACTTCATCATTGTACTTTGTGAAGAAAAAAAAAGAATATATATTTATAGGATTATACAGTACATATGAATCATTCTCCACAGCATTTTACTAATTGGAGGATGTTATCTGTATGTAAGCCATTTAAGACTGAAAGAATGAGAAACAAAAGAGAGAGATACTGATGACCGCCAGGTGGAAGAAAACGGAGAGAAATTGATGTCTGCTGTGATTAGTCAAAAGAATACAAGTGACATGAAACAATTGATGAATTGGCAGAAATCGTCCTTAATATCTCAGTATTTCTACAATCTGTCAATTAATGCCAAATGCCAGTCATAGAACTGATGAATTTGAAGAGATCATTCCGATAATCTTGCTGTGTAAGCTCCCATTAGTCACAAGAACACCGCCTGAAGGAAAGATTATTCTCCGTTCAGTTTCATCTGCAGCAATATCAAGTGAACCTCCTGCCCAGTCAGTCACCTGACAAGTAAGACACACAATGAATAACCAGGAAAGTGAGCAATCTAGTCTCGCTTATTGTTTTCTGAATGAATGATCTAAAAATTAAATCCTATTGCTCAAAGTTGAAGGACATAGTATAAAGTGAAAGTCATAACCAGGAGCACAATCGAAGAAAAACGTAAAGCTTCTTAAAAATTTGCCCTCTGCTTTGGATCCTGTTATGCGAAGTGAATAGTGTGATATATGAAAATTCAAACACAGGTAGAATGAAAGTTGATGCCAGTGAATACTGCATCGAGTAGACAAAAAAAAAGTCTTCTGCTTAATGCATTTGTTTGATGTCAGGGAATATAAATGCCTGGATGTGAATAACTTGCCAGTAAGCAGATAAGTGGAAAACAGTAGGCAGTATAATGCAGAATACAGGATTATCTGCCCTTTGTTGATAATAATGATGATATGAGTTGAGCCTAAAGAATGATGTGAGGATTCATATTGCCGATCCCAACTTGTTTGTGACTGAGCCATAGTTGTTGCTATTGTAGTCTCCCAGATCTTTCAAATCAAATATGGGCTGATTATGTATGTTTTTTCCCTTGAAAGTACAAGAATGAAATCACTGGGTGTAGAGTCTCCGAATTATGAGGCGTGACCAAAAATAAAGCTATAAAACGAGCCTTTCTTCTCTTTGTGTTTCTTCATAAGTAAATGGCAGGCCTACTTGTCCATTCCCAGCAAGGAAAGGGCTAAGACAAGGGGATCCACTATCCCCATTCTTGTTTGTCTTAGCTATGGATTACCTAAGCAGGCTACTCAGATCTTTGAAGAACCAGCCTGATTTTAACTATCATCCAAGATGTGAGAAGCTGCAAATCATTCAGCTAGGCTTTGCTGATGATTTGTTGTTATTCTGAAGAGGTGATGAAGTATCTATCCAGATGTTGTACAATTGTTTCATGGAGTTTTCAAAGGTGTCAGGTCTGAAGGCAAATAAGAACAAGAGCTCTATATATTTTGGGGGTGTGAGCGTAACTATACAGCAAAATGTCATGGAGAAGCTGGGGTTTCCTAAAAGATACCTGGGAGTCCCATTAAGCACAAAAAGAATGTCAGTCATACAATTCCAACCACTGCTAGATAAGATGCTTGGCAGAATAACATCATGGACTACAAAATTCCTTTCATATGCTGGCAGGGTTCAGTTGATTAAGAGTGTACTGCTATCAATCCAAATATATTGGTCCCAAATACTTGTTTTCCCAAAGAAGGTGATCCATCTCATAGAAGCTATATGCAGGAAGTTCTTATGGACTGGGGGGATTGATGTAACAAAAGAAGCTCTAGTGGCATGGGAAAAATTGTGTCAACCAAAGGCTAATGGGGGCTGGAATTTGCTGGATATTGAATTATGGAACAAAGCAGCCATATGTAAACTACTATGGAACTTAGCTCAAAAGAAGGACAAGCTATGGGTGCAGTGGATTCACACTTACTATGGGAAAGGCAAAGCTATAAAATATATTGAAGCTAATCAAGCTTCATGGCTAGTGAAGAAGATTCTGAGGGCTAAGCAGTACATGATAGAGGCTGGGATCAATTTGGATGAAATACTCGAGAAGAAACACATAACCATCAGCAATATATACAAGATGTTAAGGAAGGATCACCAGAAGGTTCATTGGAGGAAGCTGATATGTAATAATGGAGGAATGCCAAAGTGGACTTTTATATTGTACATGACTATACTGGGCAAACTGAATACCAGAGATAGACTAGCAAGATGGGGAGTAACAAATGAACTACTATGTCCTATGTGTAAAGTGGAAGAGGAAAGCGTGGAGCACCTGTTCTTCAAGTGTTCATATACAGCAGAAATTTGGAGTAAGATACTGCAGTGGATGGGTATTACAAGGCAAACGATGGAATGGAGTCAAGAAATAGAATGGGCATGCAACAATGCAAGGAGCAGATCAGCAAATTCTGAAATCTATAGAATAGCACTAGCAAGTTGTGTCTATCACGTGTGGCAGGAGAGAAACCACAGAATCTTTCAACTTAAACAAAAGCAAGCGGGGCTACTGATCAAGCAAACTATACAAATGATATGTGGAAGGGGCTATACATTGCCAAGACTAAGAAGAAGGCTCGAAGAGTTGAATTTTTATCCATAAGGGAAGATGAAGTACTGACAATGTAACTAGAATAGTGAATTGATAGTCAGTAAGAAGGATAGGTGTTTTTTGATGAAACTGAGTCTGGGAGGATGTCCAGACTTGGTGTTTGTTTTGTTAGCTGTAATTTTCGTGCTTTGGTAATAAAATATGATAATTACCAAAAAAAAAATAAAGTTTGTGTCTTCTACTGAAGGAATTTTTAAGTTCCGTGAATCACTGGTTAGGACCCTCACTTGATTCTTCAGATTATCTTGCCAGGAAAACTAAACAAAGCGTGAATTAGTTGTGCACGAGAGTCAACCTCCCGAATCTGACCAGTTCTAAAGTTTTCACAATTAAAAAGTGATGAGAAGCCTTCAAAATACTGTACCCAGCCGAAAAAATATAAGCTATATCTTCAGATCTCCATAACCCGGATGTTCTTTACGTTACTTAATTTTTTAACTTTTTTTATAAAAAAGAAAAGGAAAAAGAAGAGAGGGTGTTGTTACATGCAATATAATTAATGACTGTTTTATTAAAAGATATATCAGCAGTGTCGACTTCTCTAGAACTAGCTGTAACAACTAACAAGTAGAGATAAGAAGGTTTGTTAAAAAGAATGTCAACAGAGAAATGCATACCTTCCCTCCAGCTTCATGGACACATATGATTCCAACAGCATGGTCCCAGACCTACATTCGACGGATATGATCATCAGATTGCTCTACTAATTTTACACAAAGTGACCCGAGAATATAATTTTCACCTTGATAATAGATGTCGCCTTCCTCCCTTGAATGTAAACCGATGCTCTACCAGAAGCGACCATCAGATATTTGCACAAACTGTAAATTAAGAAACAAAAGTAAAATAAAATAAATGCACAAAAACCATCATGAAAATTGAAGATGTAATTTGATTTGCAGTCTCAAAAGAGGAAGAAAGAAACGATGCAAAAGTAATTACAACTCAGCTGTTCAGTTTAAAAGGGAACTGAATTTTGTAATCACTTGAAGAATGGTTCTGAGTGCATTCTGTTTTCGGTTATTAAAATAGAGCATTCAATCTCTACTGAATGTGAATAATGAGCATCTTCTCCAAATAAGTTGATGGTTGTTACCGAGAACCAAAACCAAGTTCCAACTTGGACACCAAAAGTTTACTATAGAGCTAATTTTCTTTACCTCTACCTTCCCCAGCCCAACCCTTATATAGATCCAATTTGTAAAGGAAATCATTGTATCCCTTTCTCTTTTAAATCATTGTATCCCTTTCTTTTTTAACTTCTCAACTCCTCTGTATTAAAATTCATCAACCAAAAAGGAGCCTTTTAGGTGTAAAAACTTCCACAAATGCCAACAGCGGGCAAGAAAGATTTCACAACACAAATCTAAGCATCCATTCATCATCTAGTACAGATCTTTTAAGAATATGAAATGTCTTTGAGAAGAAGAATTCACCTTCCACAGCATGCAGACAGAAGAAGTATATTCCCGTCTCCTATGTTCTCAGAGTCTCTTTTCGCATCAAATAAAACCGATAGGGGTAAAGATTTCCATGATTGACTTTCAGGAATAGTAAACCGTGCCCCCTCCACCATTTGACAGCTGTCAACAGAGCATCTGGTCCAAGTGTGAGGTGACTCAGTGTTTAGTATGTCTGAGAACCTCTTTGTCCATGTTCCACAACCCACATGAGAAACCATGATGATCCCTGATCTGGAACTACTATTTTCTTGGACCCCAACAATAGAATTCTCAGAACAGTCTTCGCACCAATTGGGGCAGCCCATAACCCCCAAGACAATCTGTCCTTCAACTACAAGTGCCAAACCCACCTGAAAAGGCATAATATATTTGGCCAAATAAGCATGAGAAGTGGAAAAAAACACGACTCTAACCCAGGCAGCAAAAGCATTCTATAGAACCAAGAAATAACACCTGAACCTATTATGATAATGTATACGACATCATCATTTTCGTTACCCAACACTCTTCTTTGCAGAAACATTAATTAATTCATGATACATGAAACACTCTGCACTATAAAACAAAATAGAAAGAACAAAAGATTAGGACAGAGAAGTTTAACTTTGGCACCACTGAGGGCTTTAGTTTAACAGCATTTGTGTCTCCAGTATAACTCCAAACCCAAGGTTTTCCCCTTTCAATACAACAAGAACAAGAAGAAGAAACCCAGTGAAATCCCACCGGTGAGGTCCCGGAGGGTTACCCCTACCGTGAAGGTAGAGAGGTTGTTTACCCTTTCAGTACACATATAATTCACCTAAGCATAATGTAATTTTCTGACAAAGGGGATTCAATTGATCACTCTTCGGCCAATGTGTCCCCGCCACTGCGCGCCACATTCCCAGTTCAAGGGAAGCAACTGGCACAACAGGCAGAGGAAAGGCATGAGTTGGGAGTAACCCTCAAACTTTTTACCCTATACCTTGGCCAGTTCCGTGAAAAACAAACTTAAAATGTGTTAAATAGTTCTTTCTTTTCCAGTTCCTGTCATTCTTTTTCTTTTTTTTTCTTTTGGTCGGGAAATTCGCAGCTGATTTGGTAAACGAGGAATAAGAATAAGGTGATCTCATTCTTGTTTCTTCCTATAATTATTTGGGAAAAGAAAAAAGAAAAGAAACAAAAACATAAAAAAAATTATATTAAACAGAAAGGAAAAGGAATTAAGAGCATACCACATAGAGAGCATCGCTACCTTTAACAAACCCTCGTGTACCATCAATAGGATCCAGTATCTGTATGAGGATGAAAATTAGTGAATGCAGTCCAAATCACTGTGCAAGTATCTGTTAAGGGCATGGATGATAAAGGTAGATTTTCTTTCAAGCACATAAAAGATCACACAGAATAAAGACAGACAAGAAAATATTTCCTGATGTCATATTGATAGAAATCGGGAGGCCCTTGAAAATATAAGCCTTGATCTGGTAAAGGTTAATGTACAAAGGAAGAGGTATTTTCAACGAGAAGTAGGTTATCCAAGGGCCATATACTGGAAACTGTTTCTATATATTTTGCCACCCATCCAACCCCCAACCCAAATTCTTCAAGACATCTTGAGATGTTTCTTAGGTGATATTAAAAACACACTCTGATTTAGCCAAAATTCTAGAAAGAGAATCAAAAGTTGAAATTCTCCAGACCAATCATCAACTAAACGAATGCGTCTCTGAGACAAAATGTGAAAGAGCATACCCAAAATGAATTAAAAAAAAGTCTAGTTTCTTTCAGGAACTTTCCTTTAGTTTGAAGCCTTTAAAGGACTTTGATCTGTTATCTCATGAAACTTAGTTAATACACTTCGGAAGCAGCATCAACTCACCCAGTAAGTGGCTGGTTTAGGCCCAAATACACAAGCATCCTTTCCCCCTCTGTCAATTGCTTTCAAAATATTATCATCTGTTACTTCATCTCCTGAAGTTGCTTTATCCTTTACAACATCGACCACTGAGCCAACTAGATTATTTGAACGCAAGAATGCAGAGTCCTCTTCAGCGACCAGGGGGATAGAGGGAAAAAGTCTGTTCATCTCTATCAGAATAAGGGTATAATCCAGTAAAGAAACAATTCGACTTAGCTCTAAAAAACTCAATCAAACAATTTGTTGCTGTTCCAAGAAAACAGAGAAGGAAAATATAAGCGAATCAAAGGGAAACATAAAGAGAATATTAATAATTTCATCATTGTCAAAAACTATCTTCATAATTTCATCATTCTTCAAAAATTCTATTCATAATATAAACATTATTACTGCCATGACTATCCAATTGTTTTCTTGAGTGATGGAGAAGTATCAGACCAGATTGATTCATTATCAAAGAGGAAAAAGTATGACATGAAGAGAAACGAGGTGCAAAGATTTGACAATCATACTCTATCTTTTCCACCTTCAAATGATCTACAGTTGTTGAGAGCCATATCCACTAAAACTTGATTCTACAAATTAATTAGTTTATTTCTCGACATAAAGCTTTGTAGATTAATAAAAATAATAAAATCTACAAACTGAAGATTGTCCATGAGACCAAAAAAATAAGTTTATGATTATTCTCCACCATTTTTTGTTGGTAGTGGAGGGATTTCGAATCTTTCAGTAAGATGCAGTTTTGGAGCAAATACCTCACTCAGCTTATAATTTAAGTGGTGATGTAGATTAATCAAGCCAAGAATACTGAAGTTTAATTAGAAGAGTAAAGAGATCAACCCTCTCAAAAAGAAAGGCAATCAACGTGTCCAAGCAAAATCTCAGATTTCGGAAGATAAAAAAGAATGAGAACATATCAATAAAACTGGTGCGAAGTTTTGTAGTTTGCTGACCTATCCAATACTGATACTTGATGGTACAAAAGATACATCAAGTTTAGATGATCTACCTTCATCACTTGCTTACCAAAATTTTCACAGAAGATGTAACATTTTTTGTTAAGTCAACAAAATTCATTACTAAACATGTTATGTTTGATATTATTATACTAGTATTTTAAAGCATAGTAGTTCTCCTCTAACATACTAGCTCAGTAACACTGCAGACTAGTAGTGAAGAATCTTCAGAGTGGTTTTGCCGAATTAGAACTTTAGACTTCTAACTGCTGGCTACTTTCTCTTCAGTCAGTAAGTATGTTATAATCAGGTAATAAACTGTCTGTATATAACAGTCTATCACTGTATTTCTATCTCTTCTTTTCCGAGTTAGTCAATACAAGAAGTCTGTACTCCTATCTCCAGCTGATTGGCATAAACAAAAATACCATTTTATAAAAAAGGATTATATAATCTTAGCGAAGTGTCAATATTTACGGTTATTTCTTGCCTGAATATTTATCTTTCTTTCTTCTTCTAAGATAAGATTGTTTTATGACCAAAGGTACATGTAAGAATATGGTTGACTAAGAAAAGAAAGCATCGATATCATCCTAAAAATAGATTAAGCGCCTTTGCAACTGGAGATGGCGACAGAATGTAATGTAAGCTATCGAAGCTCTATTAATAGGAAAAATATAGTATACCACCTTATTCTATCAAGAAAAAGAAATGTGAAAACATCCAGGCATAAGGAAGATTATTCTTAGTCAAGGTAAATTCCTAGTGCTAAGAAAAATCAGACTTTGACTGGCCAGGCTTTTAATTGTTTTATTTAAAGTTTCCTTCTTTTTCTCTCCCATTTTTACTGGACAGCTGAAACTGCACTCAGATTTAATTAATTTATCAAAAAATAATGAACAAGAATTTCTTTTCAGTAAATAGAAAAGAATATATAAGTTACCCAAGCTAACTAAAGCCTGCACTCCAAAATCCGCAATAGTGACTGGGGTCTGGTCAATTTTCTCAAGAATCCTACCATCACTCGAGAACAACGACTTCTTCACCTAGCAATCACAAAGAAAACAGCAGTTTTAGTGGATAAAATGGTTGCAGTACTTGACATATGGACTACTCAAAATAAACAAAAAGATGGCTATAGGATAAATGTTTATATTTCATTTCAATCATTTCATGTATCAGAAGTATAGAAGTAAAGCAGTTTTTCACCTGAACTAATTGACTACCGTCACCTTGTTTGAGATAAGGTGCAGTCAACTTGTTTCAAAAATCTCCAATTTTATGTACCTCAGAACAAGTTATCACTTTCGCAATGTGCATTAGCCATGAAACTACCTAAAATGATTGAGAAACCTGCATTTTAAATTGCGGAAGCAGTAAGCGAAATGTTTCTAACCTCACATTCTAACCAATTTCAAGTACTTTAGTCTGAAGCCTCATATCGTTCAATTAAACTCAAAGAAGTTGCTCTATAAGGCCATGAAAAGGAAAAGTAGCTTTGAACTCAAAATAATACAATAGTTGCCAAATGCAGCCAACAGATAAAACTCCTCGGGCCCAACTTATATTTGAAACTCCTAAGATGTTTGGCACAATTCCATTTCTATACAACTTTCACAACTTTTTAGAATTATTTTCACTTCAATATTTTCTTCCACTATCATCAATATAGTAGTAAATAAGTCAAATTAAAAAATTTAAACATCGCGTTGAACACCCTTTCACTAACAGTAATCTAACATATAAGTCAAATTAACATGTTAAATGCTGTGTCTACTGAAATGCAGTCATATAAACGGAAGTGAAGGAGTAATTAGCTAATTATTTACAGTAAGTGGAGAAATTACATCAACGCAAAGACAACAAGCTCGCTCGACAACATCAACAGCAGCTTCCAGCTCTCTATAATACTTGGCTTTCTGCTCCGGGAACGGAAGGCTCAAACTCGACCTGGAAAGGAGAGAAAGCAGACACACATACATAGCGATTCAGACACAAATTCCAGAATATCAATCAATTCAACTATACTAATTGATGCCGACCATATGAATTAGAGAAATGGAGAAAAAAAAATAAGCAGAGAGGAGTCAGCTGTGAGAGACCTAACGGCGACGAAACGCCGGCGAAGCGGCGTATGGAAGGGATGCTGAGGATGAGCTGCAGGGAAGCGGGAGGCGGAGTAACGGAGAAGATCCATAAAAGACTATAAAATCAGGTACTCGTTACTCCTGGAAAGTACAACTGTTACTGCCAAATGTACATGGGCTAAATGTGTTTTTGTCGCTTGAAGGAGTAGGCTTCGAATGGTGGAAAGTGGTGGACCGGAGGTTTTCTCTTAACGTATGATTCCAACTGCTCGAAACCGACGGTTGGTTGCACAGTTTTATAAAGTTCTCTGTTAGGTTTTTTATTTTATTGCTGTAATATTATATGCTATAAAAAATGAATAACTTAGGAATTAAAGCGCTTTGGATGTTATTCATGATATATGTTGAGTTTTATCTAATTTTTACTTCATCTAGAGATATATTCAACTGAGTCATTAAAAACTCTAAGTGAAAAGCAGAAGTTAGTATTTGACATAGGGGTGTACATAGGTCGGGTTGGTTCGGATTTTACAATTACCAAAGCAAACCAATTGTGTCGGATTATTAAATCTAAAGACCAAACCAAACCAATAAAACTCGAGTTTTTCACTCTCAGGTTTTCGGATTTTTCGGGTTTTTTCGGGGTTTTTTTTCCGGTAAAATCTTCGTAGAACAAAACATATAAATTGTGCTCAAAATATTTCTTTAATCCTAGTAAGATACAACTATATAAAGTATTTTTCGAGAAAATAATACAAAATATGAGATGTGTCATGGCATTATACTAAAATAGTCAACAATAAAGACAATAAAATTATGTAATATAAATATTACTAATTAAAAAGCCATAATAAAAATAAACATAATCTAAAAGTACTAAGTCGTGCTAAAATAAGTAGACTAATAAGGGAGTACTAATTACATGACTAAACGCTAACGAAAAAATAAAAATAGGTTATGCATTTTTATCTAAATTATTGCAAAACAAAAAATAGATATTCAATACATTGTCGTTCGTGGTATTGAATTGAATGTCTTTTGTTAGCATTAGTGTCACGACCCCAGTTCGCCCTCCCTGAACTATCGTGACGGCACCTAGTCTCTACGATTAGGTAAGCCTAACGAATTGCGGAAAAAGAAACAACAGAATAAAACAAATAAAAACTTGCGGAATAAACATAGTGAAGGTTTAAAGATGCCGCTCGGCATATACAATACAACTCTCAAACTGAAACTACATTTCCCAAAACCGGGAACCTCATGAAATCACAAGCTGTGGAATAACTACAGTGTTCTAACTCCAGAGTGTTTAAACAAGAGTAAATACAGAAGGGCTAATACTATGAGAGAGAATGGAAAGGGACCCCTCGGTCTGCGGACGCGGCAGACATACCTCGAAGTCTCTGATGGATCACCCCGCCTCAAGGGTAGTAGGGTTGAGTCGAAGTACCTGGATCTGCACATGAAAAACATGCGCAAAAAGGGCATGAGTACACCACAGCGGTACTCAGTAAGTGCCAAGCCTAACCTCGATCGGGTAGTGACGAGGAAAGTCAGGGCCCTACTGATTATAGCTGGGGGAAAAATGAGATAAAATAGTATAGAATACGAAAATATAATTAAATGCTAACAGTGTGAAATGACACAAGACAATAAGAATAACAACAACTATTACAGAGGCAGAAGTAATCACGGAAAGAATACGGCTCAGCATAGAGATAACAACAGGGGATCTCCCAGGATACCGTCCTGTAGTCCCAAACATAAATATCCAGTGGATCTCCCGGGATACCGTCCCGTAGTCCAACTCATAGTGCACGGGGATCTACCGGAATCCCGATCCGTAGTCCCAAATGTAAATACCCAGTACTGGGGGAATCTACCGGGTGCAGTCCCGTAGTTCCAATATAGAAGTGCAGGGGGAGCTCCCAGAATACCAATCTGTAGTCCCAAAGTAAATAGGCAGGGGGATCTTCCGGGATACCGTCCCGTAGTCCCAAAGTAAACACACAGCAACAACTCGAAGAATACTCAATTCAATTCCAATTTCATACCAAGGTAAAACAAGTATTTCTAACCTAGCATGCTGCACATAACCCAAATAAGGTAGTTTGAACAAGTAAAGCAATTAAGTCAATTAAACATGCTTCCTTAAGCTAACAGCAGGCTTAAATTACAAGCAGTATAAACAGGAAAAGGAATCACAATTATAGTCACTTAATGAAAACGGATTTTCAACAATTAGCACAAGTACGCACTCGTCACCTCACGTACAAGGCATTTCAAATATCAACAATACCAAATCCTAAGGGGAGTTTCCCCCACACAAGATTAGGCAAGCCACTTACCTCGAATCGGCTCAAAATCAACTCGAAACCACGCTCTTGCCACGAGTACTCGACTCCAAATGGCCCAAATCTATTCAAATCAATTGCATAATATAAATAAAACTTCAAGTAACTGATCCCACTAATTAATTCTAAGCTAATGCGCGAAATTAGGAAAAATGACCAAAACATCCCTCGAGCACATGTCGCGAAATTGGGTAAAATTTACAAATTCGGGATCCTCACACTCTCACGAGTTCAGCCATACCAAGAGTACCAAAATCGGACCTCAAATTACCACTCAAAACTTTCCAATTAACCAAGCCCTAACCCCCAATTTACCCCTGATTTCTCCCTTAAATTTCATGCTAACAACGATAAAAATCACCATAATAACGAGTTTAGGAACCAAGGACCTTACCTCAATGAATCCCTCTGAAAATCTCCCTTGAAATTGCTCCCAAAAGCTTTACTCCGAGTGAAATATTGAGAAAAATGACCAAAAATCGCGAAGGAATTCTTTTAAACTTTCTGACCCTGGTTTTTCGCACTTGCGGTCTATTTCCGCTTTTGCGCTACCGCTTCTGCGGTCAAGGGAACCGCTTCTGCAGTTTTCACTAAAGCCTCCTTCTCCGCACCTGCGACCCAGGTTCCGCATCTGCGGTCCCGCAGGTGTGGTACACCTCCCGCTTCTACGGTTTCTGCTGCCTTCACTGTGGCCGCATCTGCGGCTCCATGCCCGCTTCTGCAAGTTCGCACCTGCGGTCCCCTAGCCGCAGGTGCGATTATGACAGCAATAGAACAACTTCAGCTGTCAACCCCAACTCAAAATCTCCCGTTAACCATCCGAAATCACCCGGAGGCCCCCGGGACCTCAACCAACAGCACGAACAAGTCATATACCACTATCCAAACTTATACCAATCTTCAAAACACCTCAAACAACATCGAAATACCAAATCATCATCGAATTCAAGCCTAAGAATTCCAAAAACTTCCAAATTACGCTTTCGATCAAAAAGTCTATCCAACCTCGTCCGAATGACCTGAAATTTTGCGAGCACGTCACATTCAACACTTGGAGCTACTCCAACTTCCGGAATTCCATTCCGACCCCGATATCAAAATCTCACTATCGAACCGGAAACTTCAAAAATTCAACTTTCGGCATTTCAAGCATAAATAAACTACAGACCTCCAAAATATAATCTGAACACGCTCCTAAACCCGAAATCACCCAACGGAGCTAACGGAACCCACAGAATTCCATTCCGAGGCCGTCTTCGCCCTGTTCCGACTACGGTCCAAATTCTAAAACTTAAATTCTCATTTAGGGACTAAGTGTCCCAAAACACTCCGAAACTCAAAACAAAACCTCCCGGCAACTCAGAATAGCAGAAATAAATACGGGAAAAACAGTTAATAGGAAATCGGGGCGTTAATTCTTAAAACGACCGGCTGGGTCGTTACATCCTCCTACACTTAAACATTAGTTCGTCCCCGAACGAGCATATAGACATACCTGAAATAGTGAAAAGATAAGGGTAACGGCCGAGTCGCCTCCTCGACCGGCTGACCCCGCCACTGAACCTTCACTGATGCAATGTTCTTTGACCTCAGCTTCCAAACCTGCATGTCCAATATTGCCACCGGTTCCTCAACATAAGATAGATCCTTGTCCAACTGGACTGAACTGAAATCCAACACGTGCGATGGATCACCGTGATACCTCCGGGGCATCGAAACATGAAATATCGGATGAACTCCTGCCAAGCTGGGAGGTAAGGCAAGCTCATAAGCAACCTCCCCAACATGCCTCAATATCTCAAAAGGGCCAATAAACCTCGGACTCAACTTCCCTTTCTTCCCAAATCTTATAACGCCCTTCATAGGCGAAACCCGAAGCAGAACCCGCTCTCCAACCATATAGGAAACATCACGAACCTTCCGGTCTGCGTAACTCTTCTGTCTGGACTGGGCTGTACGAAGTCTATCCTGAATCACCTTAACCTTCTCCAACGCATCCTGAACCAAGTCTGTGCCCAATAATCTAGCCTCACCCGGCTCGAACCAACCCACCAGAGATCTACACCGCCTACCATATAAAGCCTCATACGGTGCCATCTGAATGCTGGACTGATAACTGTTGTTGTAGGCAAATTCCGCCAATGGCAAGAACTGATCCGAAGACCCTCCAAACTCAATCACACACGCACGGAGCATATCTTCAAGAATTTGAGTAGTACAATCGGACTGTCCGTCCGTTTGAGGGTGAAATGATGTGCTCAACTCCACCCGAGTACCCAACTCATGTTATACGGCCCTCCAGAACCGTGATGTGAACTGAGTACCTCTATCTGAAATGATGGAAACTGGAATACCATGCAGACAGACAATCTCCCGGATATAAATCTCCGCCAACCGCTCCGAAGAACGGGTAGTACTCACAAGAATGAAATGTGCGGACTTGGTCAGCCGATCCACAATCACCCAAATGGCATCGAACTTCCTCAAAGTCCGCGGGAGCCCAACTATGAAGTCCATGGTGATCCGCTCCCACTTCCACTCCGGAATCTCTATCTGCTGAAGCAATCCACCCGGTCTCTGGTGCTCATACTTCACCTGTTGATAATTAAGGCACCGAGCTACAAACCCCAATATATTTTTCTTCACCCGCCTCCACCAATGGTGCTGTCTCAAATCCTGGTACATCTTTGCGGCACCCGGATTGATGGAATATCGCAAACTGTGGGCCTCCTCTAGAATCAACTCTCGAAGCCCATCAACATTGGGCACACAAATTCGACCCTGCATCCTCAATACCCCATCATCACCAATGGTCACCTCTCTGGCATCGCCCTGCAGAACCCGATCCCTGAGGGCACACAAACGAGGGTCATCAAACTGCCGCTCTCTAGTACGATCGAACAAAGAAGACCGAGAAACCACGCAAGCAAGGACCCGACTAGGC